TACCACAAACTGCTTGAAGATATCAAAGTAAAGAATATTCTTCTACCCGATGAGTTTGTTTCAGAACTTATGATCAAGAAATTGTCGCCATCCTTGGCTGATTACAAACAAAAGTTGAAACACGGACACAAGAAAATGTCGCTTTCAGAGCTCATCACACACATAATTATTGAAGATACCAACAAGAAATAGTGTACTACTGCAAAGACCAAAGCTTTGTCTATAAAAGCAAATATGGTAGAAGTCAAACATGCTCCCAAAAGGTACGAACACAAACTTGATCATTGAAAGGAAAAATAATTTTCGAAAATCTCATCCCAATGGATCTAATCCCAACTTTAAGAAGGAAGTAAATTGCTTCGTATATGAAAAGTCAGACCATCATGCACCACAATGCAAGCGCAAAGAAAGAAACGACAATCCTCGTAGGGCAAATATAGTCGAAGGAGAGGATACTATTATTGCAGTCGTTTCACAAGTAAATTTGATGACCAATGTGAGCAAGTGGGTGGTAGACTATAGTGCTACCATGCATATATGTGCAAACAGAAGGGCCTTTACCTCCTACACTAGTACTGGAGAAGAACATGTTTAACTTAGTGATTCTAGGACAACTCTTATTTTGGGAAAAGGAAAAGTTTTTCTCGAGCTCACATATGGAAAGACTCTGGCCTTGAGTGATGTGCTACATATGCTATCAATCAGAGCTAATTTAATATATGTAACATTACTAGGAAAAGTTGTGGTTAAAGTGTCACTTGAGTCTAACAAGATTATAATGACAAAAGATAATGTTTTGTGGGGAAGGGATATTGTGATCAAGATCTTTTTATACTCAATATTTCTGAAAATATTAATGAATCTTATTATTTTGCTTATATTGTTTATTCATATGATATGTGGCACATGATGGATTAAGACATGTGAATTCTTCATATGCTATGAAATTACAATGACTAGGATTAATTAATATGCATGTTAAATAAGTAGTAAATGTGATATATGTGTAGAATCTAAAAAAAAACATGTTATCTTGTAGATCGTCAAACTGAATTGTTATGGTTAATTCATATTGATCTAACTTATTTAAGACAAACCATTTATAGAGGTGGTAAAAATTATTTTGTAACCTTTATAGATGATTATTCTATTTACATCAAAGTGTACTTAAGCAAACATAAAGTTGAAGCATATGATATGTTTTAAACTTATAAAGCAAAAGTAAAAAAACAATTGAATAAGAAAATTAAGAGGATTAGATCATAGAGGTGGTGAATATGTCCTATTTAATGAGTTTTATGTTAGAGAAGGTATTGTCTAAGAAAACTTCACCATATTCACCTTATTCTGATGGAGTAGCTGAGAGAAAGAATAAATCTCTTAAGGAAATAATGAATGTCATGCTTATTATTCTAATGCACCTGATAACCTTTGGAGAGAAACCTTTCTCTCTACATGTTTTTTACAAAATAGGATACCTTAGAAGAAAACTAGTAAAACTCCTTATGAGTTGTGGTGAGGTTACCAACCTAACCTTAAATATCTGAGAGTGTGGGGTTGCCTAGCTAAGATGATGTTACATGATCATAAGAAAAGGAAAATAGGCTCTAAAACCTCTGATTGCATGTTCTTAGGTTGTGTTGAACATAGTGCTTCCAATAGGTTTATTGTTCTTAAAAGTGATGTACTATAGCGTAATTTTATAGTGGAGATGAAAAAAGCTAAGTTTTTTTTAACATGTTTTTTCATTAAAGGTTAATGAGACGTCTGAACCTATTGATAATAATNATGGTTAATTCATATTGATCTAACTTATTTAAGACAAACCATTTATAGAGGTGGTAAAAATTATTTTGTAACCTTTATAGATGATTATTCTATTTACATCAAAGTGTACTTAAGCAAACATAAAGTTGAAGCATATGATATGTTTTAAACTTATAAAGCAAAAGTAAAAAAACAATTGAATAAGAAAATTAAGAGGATTAGATCATAGAGGTGGTGAATATGTCCTATTTAATGAGTTTTATGTTAGAGAAGGTATTGTCTAAGAAAACTTCACCATATTCACCTTATTCTGATGGAGTAGCTGAGAGAAAGAATAAATCTCTTAAGGAAATAATGAATGTCATGCTTATTATTCTAATGCACCTGATAACCTTTGGAGAGAAACCTTTCTCTCTACATGTTTTTTACAAAATAGGATACCTTAGAAGAAAACTAGTAAAACTCCTTATGAGTTGTGGTGAGGTTACCAACCTAACCTTAAATATCTGAGAGTGTGGGGTTGCCTAGCTAAGATGATGTTACATGATCATAAGAAAAGGAAAATAGGCTCTAAAACCTCTGATTGCATGTTCTTAGGTTGTGTTGAACATAGTGCTTCCAATAGGTTTATTGTTCTTAAAAGTGATGTACTATAGCGTAATTTTATAGTGGAGATGAAAAAAGCTAAGTTTTTTTTAACATGTTTTTTCATTAAAGGTTAATGAGACGTCTGAACCTTTTGATAATAATAATAGTGATGTCTTGTGTGAGGGTTTGAGAAGAAGTAAAAGACAGAGGAGGGAAACTTCCTTTAATAATGATTTTTATACTTATCTCGTTAATAATGATCCAACTAGCTTTGTAAATATTATTAATACTCCTAATGCAAAATAGTGGGATAAGGCCATTAAGACTGAAATTGAATCAATCCAGAAAAATAGTACTTGGACCTTAGTAGATTTTCCTATAGGAGAAAAACTCATTAGTTGTATGTGGATTTTTAAGAAATAAAGTATCACCATGATCGATCTATAGAGAAGTATAAGGCAAGATTAGTAGCAAAAGGTTTCACTTAGAAACCCAACATATATTATTTTGATACCTTTGCCCTTTTGACTAGGATTTCCTTTAATCGAGTGTTGTTAGCCTTAACACTTATCCATAAGCTAGTGATACACCAAATGGATGTTAAAACTGCCTTTTTGAATGGTGATTTTTAGGAGAAAATCTATATGACTCAACTTGAAGGGTTTGTACTTAGTTAAGAGAATAAAGTATGCAAACTTTTAAAATCTTTGTATGGGTTGAAACAAGCACCAAACAATGGCATGAAAAACTTGATAATGTGTTGCTTTGTGATGGTTTTTCACTAATGATATTGATAAATGTGTATACTATAAATCTAAAAATGGTTATTGTGTCATTATATGTTTGTATGTGAATGACATGTTAATCTTTGTAAAAGTGTTATAGACTGCATTATGAGAGGTTAAATTTTGTAATTAAAATTTTATATGGTGTAAGAATTTTAGTTTAAACAAAGTTTTTAATGATTTTCATGTCCTTTATGGGTGGTGTATGATTTGTAGCATACACTTGATAAAAACACCTATAAGAGTGTCATGTGGGGCCGCTTGCATGAGATATTGGCATGATCTCAAAAGCACTCATGAATACTAGACACATGCATAGCCTAGTAAATGCAACACAACGATAACAACACAGATTATGAGGATATATTGTGATTAATAAACCTCTAACATACGTCAAGTATCCTTGGTTCATATAACTTGTTATACCAATTACATTATGCATTACAACTTTTGAAACCCATGATAATTATTTTCTTTCTTTTTCTTTCAATCTTTCTTTCTATCTTTTGCAATATATGGGGGATCGTTGGAATAAAGAGTATCGCAAAAGATAGCTTTACTTCCTTCATTTAATAAGAACCCTAGAGGAGTTGTTCTTCTTATTTTAGCTTCGAGATGGTTGTCACAAATCTTGGTCTTCCTTTTAGTGAGCTTGAGCCACAAAGATAGGAAGTCACGTTCTTCTTTTACAAGTCGGTTAGAGGCTTTAACAACAAGATTCAAGTCTATTTCACAATGTTCAAATTTGCAAATCACAAAATTCATTTATAAACCATAATAGGCCGCAACTTCTAATCCATTTTCTAGCATCAATAAATAGAGGCTTATGCTCACCTCTGAAAATATACTTTCATTCTATCTTTTCTTCTCTCTCACTCTTGTCTATCTTATATTTTCCTTTATAATATTTTGGATAATCTTACTCTTTTAAAAGGAGTTTTACTTACTACTTTTTAGAAAAATTTCTATTGTATTCTTTTAAAAGGAGTTTTACTTACTACTTTTTAGAAAAATTTCTATTGTATTCTAGAAGACTTGTGCAACAAAGTACAAATAAATTCTTAAAATGAATAGATTCACACGCCTCATATCATGATTACTGTCAATATCTTACAACAATAAGAAATTATTTTTTAAATAAACATATATAACAGCTACTAAATACTATACATATACTCGTTAAATCAACTATATATACTATCTAAAAACTCATTAATTGAGTTATGATTTATGTTCAAAAGATTGGCAAACTGACCCAAATGAGTTTGTATTTACTCTTTAATATAAAGATATACCTAACTATACATGTTAAAATTTTGTGAAGTCTACTCTTAAAATTCTGGTTTGACAATTAAAGCATTTAGGTGAGTTATGCGTCTGACACCCTTCATATTATTGAATTGAACCCAAACACAAACATTTCCACCAGCAGTTGCTTTCAATCACTATACACACGTTCAATTCGCAACACAGTACTTTTACACTTGTGGTAGTTGTACAATCAGGAATCACCTCCATAAATAAACATAAAAAAAGACATTTCTTCAGAACCCACGTGTTCCCATTTATGTTGCTTTATCATAATAAATTTTTCAATCAACCAATGACTAAGTAGGCCTAGGTAGGTCCATGTTTCTATTTCAAGTTGGCATCTTCAATCACACGCATGTTGTTGTTGTTCTGATTCATCACAAAAAACCCATAACAATTCCTTATTATACCACATAATATTCACGCGTAACTGAGTATCATCAGTGTTATCTTCTGATAAAACGTGTTATCAGTGTTATCAGTTTTATCTTCTGATAAGACTCAAGTGAATTTTATGTGATAATAAAAAGTATACACGCAAAGAAAAGCTTCTAGAAATTACCATTATAAATCATAAACTGTGAGATTGCAAATGCTTGTGTTATTTATATTTTTATATCAGAGGGGATCCTGAGTTAGCCCCAGTTGTTGGTAATTCATGAAATCAATGCCATTTAATCTAATACAACATAACACATGTTCTGGCAGCTCCTCTTGTTTGTTTCCCTGATGCACCAAATGTTACAAAAATCAGTTTAAGTATCAGAGAGAATAAAATAGATTTTGGCACAAGAGAAACTACTTGCCTGAATTGTGAGGCCAACATCTAGCGTGCAAATCTTCAATCTGTCAAGGAATGCTTCAAACCCTTTCCTGGATATATAACTGAATCTATGCATATCCAAATCAATCTCAAAGTAATTTTCACCCTGTAAAAGGTTAATTGAATTAGAGATATATTGTTCATTAAACAATTTATCGTTTTAAGGATTATGTAACTCTGCTAAACAATATCAGTAACATGACAAAAATATGTTCATATGTTTCTTCACATCACATAGCATGTTGCATGACTTGTTACTTTTGACTTTTTCTGAGTTGTGAAATTTTTCTGTATGAACAATAATAACATTGTTCATTAAATGGTTAGAAATATCAAAGTGTTAGGTGATTGGAAAGAAATGTTGACAAATTAAAGTAATGCACGTGGAGGTCCCTTGTCTTTTATAGTGAAATGACACTACTGAATTGCGAGGCAAAGATATAAAGGCAACACAAGAAATCCATAAAGATGAAACCAAAGAGGACACACATCAACCAGGAGAAGGAGCCCACAGGAAAACTAGAACTTTACCTTTCAATTTTACAAAGTCCTAATTTCATGATATTCATTTTTGTTTTTCTGAGTGTGATTTTCCATTCTGAATTAACTGCTAGATAAATACAATTCTAGACATATCATGCTGTCACTAACTGCCATCACTAATCACAGAATGAAATGAATGTGGACACAAGCAGGACCACCTTATCATTAAAGTATAATAACACCTATGCATGTATAGAACGTCACGTTCAGATTCTGTCTGTCATATTCAGCTTCAAGATGCTATCAAATGAAATAATGGGATGATTAAATGAGTTTATGCAAGTAAAAACAGCTTGGTTTTCTCATTCTGCAAGATCATTCAAGATTTTATATTGTTCATTATCAAGTTGAGTAGTTATAACTTATAACAGGTTTTTGTTGAAAGAAACCATTATAATCAGTGCCTTAGAGGATGAGTCATGAGACAAACCGTGAAAAACTCATGTTGGGGACGTGAAAGAACAGGTTTCTCATTGTAAGCTTGCATAAGCTTCCTCTCTGCTGCACTCAAATGAAGATCTTCCAAGTTGACAACACGGCCTAAAATTTTCAACCTTTCCCTGAAGGGTGCAATTGTATCTACAGGAAAACCCTTTACCTTTTCAACTTCATCGTCCATCAATCTCTGTAGAAAGATGTAGATAGATATTATTTCATCAGCTACACATAGGTCAGTGAAAAGAAGTAATAGAGCTTTCCTCAAATTAACAGACAAAAAGTCAACAATATGGTAATTCAATAGGAGACATTATCAGGGAATATTTGGTTATGGCATAATATCTATTTATCAGAGTTTCACACGTTCTCTATATATCAAACTAAGGAAAAAAGAAAATAGAAAACCACTAAGACAGTTAAGATAAAACACCAACTAATAGATTGTCTTTTGTGTTTTTCATCAGATGAATCATGATCTAGAGCTAATACATCGCACTTACTCTGAATCCTTTTATTTTGTGGACAATAATATCAGTAACCAAGAAAATATAGAGATGACAGCAATTTTAACAGGATGTACCACACTATCAGGAATATTGAGCACTAATTGACACATGAAGGCTCCATCTTACTCTGATGCTTTCTTGAAAAGGCAGTGGAAGTTCCTTGGAGTAACTTTCCGAAAGTTTAAAGTACAAAACAATGCTCATTCCTTCACCATCAGTTTCTCCTTGAAAAAGTGTGGCAGGATAGAGTGGAACCTAAATTCCGCAAAACAAAAAAGTATAAGAATATGCAGCAACAATTTTATAAATTGTTCTGTTGACAATAATACCATATTAACGAAAAGGCAAAAAGATAACTAAGGATTAGAATGAACCTACAAGGAATCCCTGTTGGAAATAGAACAAGTAATAGCAATTATACCATAAAGTATAACTAGATTTTAGCAATGTAGGAGTACCTGAACGTTTACAACTAGTATGGGAGGAAATTTCCCAGAGGAACTCATAACAGGAAGTTCCACAAAGCGAGCTATGTGGTCTACTTTCCGTGGGGACAAGAAAACATCTACACCAAATGGGTAATATGCAGAATAGTTAGGAGCAAAGTCCTTTTTCTTATCCCTGCATAACAACAGCAAAGTCAAACATTATTTTGTCTGTGAAACATCTTATTTTGATTTTAAAAATATTTATGCATTTATTAACACGTGGGTGAACATGCACTGTCAAACAAACTACAGACAAATCTTAATCTTACTTGAAATAATTTACTCCTCGAACTTTGAAAGTGCCTGCATCAATCTGTGACCAACAATCAAGCATTTTCTTCTCAATTGGACAAAAGGGTACTTGAGAACCTGCAATTGGTCTTTGTAGAAGCGTTTTTGAGGAAACTGAAAACAAGAAAAGGGAACGTAAATAAGAATTACAGCAAGTGTATTTTCTCTAATAGCATCACAAGATAGATGTGTATTCTTTTGGAAAAATGCAATTTACTAAAAATGTTTTCCTTCCAGCTATTAGACACAAAAACTCTTAAAGATACTCAAACTAATGTTAAGATAAAATGAACCATAGAGTCACAAGAAAACTGTTTCAAGAATTCCAACTCACATAGAGTAGCATTCCCATGTCCTTCTTTCCATTTGAAGGAAACTTTTGTAGCAGTCTTCTTCCTTGCATTAGGAGGACTAGAACTTGATGATCTTCTCTTTTCAACAGAAGAAATGGTAGACGCAAGACATGGCAAACAATTGTTAGGAAGAATCCCACAGTTATCCAAAAGTCCATCATCCTTGTTGGAGTTTGCGTCCACTGAGGAAATTTCGTCAAGGAACACAGGCTCACTTGGAGAATCAATGACATCTACACCAGAATATTGGACATCTGAACTTCTGGAAGCCTCAGAGATATTAGCAAAATGGCTTGTCTGTAACTCCTGTTTCTGAACTTGATCTGTGGAAACTCCATGGTTGGCATTTCTTGAAGATGGAAAACTCAATACAGAACCTCCTTCAATCCCACTTAGAGATACAACATCTGCAGATATAAATTATCTTAATAATAATTTTTAAGGGTAATAGTATCTAAAAATCAAAGAAATGGGAACAAAATTAACTATATTTAAAAACTGAAAATCATACCATCAGGAACACTCTGGTAATCATCATCACAGTCAGAGTCAAATACTGCAACCGAATCAAACCATGCCTCTTCAATACTTCCTGTGCAGTTGCCACAAATTAAAATTAGCAATGATAAAAGCCAAACTAAAGCTTGCTAGGATTTCAGAAGAAATAAATGGTTTGTGCAGTAGCTGTAATAAATACAAGATGCTACATTGAATTATTTTTAATAAAGGTGAGTTGGGTCTGAAATGATATTCTTAATGACAGAAATTAAAAAGTATATTCTGTTCTCGTTTCAGAATTAACATTAATTTGCTTCAAATGTAAGTACTAATAACATGGATCTAAATCCAGTAACAAATGCTAGTTTTATGAACTCGTTGTTCAAGCCTAAAAAGCGAAGCTTGAATGGGTAGAGGCATATCATAAATGCTCAACTCACCAACTACAATTGTGCTCAACCACCTACCCATAGACATGATATCAGTATTACTGTTACCCACGAATTTCAACACCATTTTTCCACCTGAAGTCTTACTACGTTTATCCTAAGTCTTAGTCTGAAAACTAAATTTCAATTCCTCCCTTCATAATGAAAATAGAAATAGTTTAGCTAAGCCTGCAAGTATATCACCAACACAAAAATATTGACAATACTTTCGGTTGAAAATGACGATAATTTGCACCAATTATTAACATCCACTTCATCCTCCTATGAACCATTTCTTCGCTTTAGCTTCAGCTGCAACTTCGGATTTACAATGACTATACCAATCCTTTACACGCCAAGTGACCAACTCCACCAACAACATTTCCCAAAGTTCAAAACTCCAAGTCTCCAACAACCCGAAAAGGACCAAAAAAATGGTTTGAGACTTGCCACAGCAGAATTATAAGTTTCCAACAAACAACAAGAATTGTAATTCAAAACAAAAGAAAACCAAACATATGTCTGCTCTCGCATTTACAACCTTCACTCCCGATAATCCTTTGACAGAAATGCAACCCAGAAGACCAAACAAAAGATTGAAAAAAAAGATGCAGTAAAACATCAACCTTGGAAAGTGGGGTTGGCAAAGGAACAATCAGGCAACCCTGCCACATCAACCTTGTCCAATGATCCCTTACACAACCGTGAAGTAACTCTTCTCCTGAGTCCCTCTCTCCTCCTCTTCCTCGTTTTCTTCTTGGAAGAGCTCAACCTCCCTCCCACGCACCCTTGTGGAGTTGAAACACACGCTCCCATATCATCAACACCTTCGTCTCAGATCCCTCACCACCACCACCACCACCACCCCAGAAAGTTCTGTCATATAGACACCTTGATAAGGAAAACACCATAAACCAAATAGAAATAGAAAATGAGCCAGTGAATAAATAATCAAAAGGAGAACTTCAAGAAGCTACCGGCTCAGGCTTTTTGTTGAAGTTACAAGAAAGACTTCCACTTTCTTTGCCCCCATATCATAATGAAACCAATAAATAAGCTACCCCAGAGAAACAGAACACGAAAAATGAAAACAATAAAAAAAGTCAAAATTTTCATCCATATGATGATTCTAAGAAAATAATAATAGTAATAATACGGTACAGTAAGGGTAGTTGTTGTGGTTGGCAGGACCGTGAGGGTCCCGTGTGCCACGTGGCGTAAGATTATTAGGCGAACGTGTGGAAGAGTGGTGCAGAATGCAGAGATTGTGGACCAAGTTCTACGTTGTTGCTTGCTACTGTTCTTTTGGCGTTTATCTGACGTCGTTTCACACACTCATGTAAAGTTCTCAGTATCTTTATCCATGTCCGTATATTGCGTGTAGTCAATCCAAATCTGTGTTTGGAGAGCAAACCAAAGCTCACTGCGTTGAGACACCAACATTCATATTAGTACCCTTTTCCTCAATCACACCACCAACATGGGTCCCCTAAAGCTCAGGTTTTTATGATATATGTGCTGGATATGAATCACATTTAGATCTGTACCACCCAGATAAACCCTTTTATCACTCTTTATTTTCCTTTCAAATTCTTAATTTTTATTCATCAAACATGACATATTTGAATTTCTGACACTGATGTTATGTTATGACATTCTTCTTAACCTCATCTTTCTTTCTGCTAAAAAATAATAATCAGTTTGTGGAGATTCTAAGAACTATTTAAAAAAGATAATATCTCTCATAATCGATATTTGCCCACCACATGTTTGATTAATTAACATATTGTTTTAACTTTTGAGGAAAATATTTCACCATGTGATTCACAAGATCAAATTCATGACAGTGTTACTGTTCAAACATGTTACACTCTAGGGTTTTCTTTTCACCGCTTGAATTGTTTGTGGTAATGCTATAGATTACAGGAGAGAGAAATGATCAAACTTTTCCTTCAAAAAAAGATAGGCCAAAAATGTCATTATCAGTCCAATTCTTAATTAGGACAAATAGGTTATGTTTGGGACAAATGAACCTCTCCTTGAGATGTTCTAATGAATTTTCACCAAACCAATAATGATATTCAGTTCCATGGTGACTAGCCACTGTTTATCTTAATGTTCAATGATTATGAATGAATCAATTTGATAAAGCAAGTTCCCCGAAAGCATGTAGAAATTTTGTAGATGGAGACATTTTTATTGTCAACATAGAAAACTCACTATTCCAAGTACACGGTTTCAGTTACATAAAATAGGGGAAATTGCCAAACAAAACTTCAACTTCAATTTTATATTGATCTTAGTTTGTCTCTATGTGCAATATCATTTAACTCATTTCTCATGTTTTTTTTTTCAAATTTCTTTCTTTCTTTTTTGACTGATCTTATTGGTGATAAAATCTTATATATTTGACATTTCACAAATTATATATAAATTAAGAAATAGGATGTCTAAAGTTTAATATTAAAAATGTGGACTCACCATATCATTGATTAATTGTGACTATGTGATAATGATTAGGTTGGTAGAACAAAAGTTGGGTGTATAAGAAATTCAAAATATGATAACGACGTTCGATATATTGAAAGAAAAAGCAATGCATCATTTATAATTTCTTGTGTGAAGGAAATTTGATGAATCATGCCATCATTACTTTATGAAAAGAATACACTATTAGGGCAAAAAATATCATTCATGGTTAAATTTAAGTTTTAAAAATATGGTTCAAGAAAACTGCGTACTATAAATAGCATTGGAATACGACCTTTCTCTACCACTTGATGATTAATTATTAATCACAATGAAAAGCTGGTTATATTTTTAAGCAAGGGTTATTTATAGCATTAGGAATTTAACTTTTGAAAAATAGCAAAAATGCAGCTAGAAAATTTGTACTTGGTTTAAGAAAGGAATAAAAAGAACATAAATAAGTGATGGGAAAAAATGCTGAATGAAATTTTAAACTATTTAATATAAAATAATTAAATGTGGAAGAAATAGGAGAGGGGAAAAAGAATTTTCTTTTTCTAGTTGTTTAAATAGAAACAAAATAAAAATGTGACTTTCTTAATGTGTTTGATTGGAAGAAAATAAAGTGTAGAGTAACATAAATACATGAAAAAAGGAGAGAAATATTGTGAATGGAAATAATGAGAAATAGAGTAGATTCTACGTTTAATTTAAGAAAAGTAAAAATATAAGTTAATCAATTTTCATAAACTTCTATTTTTCCTCACCTTGATTGAAACTCTAACAAATAGAGTGTACAAATTATGTTCTTGAAGTAAATTAGCTATATCATATAATATTATTATTCTTATCATGTTTTCATTTCGTTATTTGCTTAAATAAATTTTTAAAATCATTAAAATATTTTAATGAAATTAACTGTTTTTTGATCAATTAAGCCATTTATCTATTATTATCTAAAACTAGGTTTGATCACTTCACAGAAGACGAAAGCTTTAATTATACCAAAGGCAGACCAGCCTTTTTTCTATAGAAAAACAATTTTAGATTACACATTTTGTGAAAAAAAAAAACTTATTTAGTTAAATGTCAAAATTTACTTCATCCAAAATGTTTCTCAATACTTGATTTGCTAACTAATTAAATAAAAACAAATAATCAATTTTTATTATTATATTAAGTTCGTATAAATTTACGTTATATATTTATTTACCTTTTATTATATAAGCAGTCAAGTTTATAAGTTTATTAAATAATAAATCCATGTCCTATTTCAATATATTGTTATAATTTTTATAGCAGTTATCACGAAGATAATTTTAAATCTTAAAAATATTATATATAATCTTCCTGTTTTTATCTTTGTCGTGTCTCAAGTTTCAATTGTTTTAAATTCTATGTTTGATATATTTTTCTTTTGTTGACCTATAAGATAGGTGTACAAAGTCTATTCTCTAATATGAAGTAGGATTTCAAATAACCTACTAAAATCAAATCGATTTTCTAAGCACCGAAGTTTGTGTGAAGAAATAGGAAAGAAAAAGGAAACATTAAAAATAATTGACTTCTTATTTTGGCCAAAGCAAGAAGAAAACTTGGTACCTCCTTCTTTACATTTTGTTCACTTGAATGGGATTTGGGAAAGAGTGATTAAATGGATTTGAGAGGATTTCAAGATAAATTTTTTGTTGTTTATTTGAGTGGATTTGAAGGTAAGTGAGAATGGATTTGGAAGTATTTTTTTTTAATCTGTCACATCAATCAAATCTTACACTAATTCTCACAAATTTTACTTCTAAATCCACTGTCACTTACTTCCAAATCCACTCAAATAAACAACAAAAAATTTGCCTACAAATCCTCTCAAATTCATTCAATCACTCTCCTCCAAATCCTTTCAAGTGAACAAAATTTTAGAGATTTGAATATTCAAAATAATAGGAGTAAAATCATACTGCTAATATTGAAAATAAGTATCTTAGATAAATACTTTTTTCTTTAGATTATTTTTTTAAGTGTAAAAAACATAAATTTTAACTCTAATTTAGTATTGAAAATAAGTATCTTAGATCAATACTTTTTTCTTTAGATTATTTTTTTAAGTGTAAAAAACATAAATTTTAACTCTAATTTAGTTTTATCAAACTAATCTATAAAATAAAATTTATAATTATATGATTTAAATTAGTTTTATATTTAGTTGACATGGATCTTTTAACATAAAAGTTATTTAATACTATAAAAAACCTCGATTAATAAAAGGAATATAGTTTTTTTTATTAAAAAAATAAAGGTTAAACCCATTCGGAGGTTCCTATTTTTGTAGGATAGTCCCAGTTACATCCCTGTCTTTTAAGTTTTGTCAATAAGTCCTTAATATTGAAAAATTGAATCAATTGGGTCTCTCCCGTTAAATCAATTTAACGGGATTAAGTTTTTGCTTACTTGTGAGAGTGACGTGGATAATTTTGGAGACGTGGCGCGCATAGTGGCTTTTTATTAATGAAACCGTGACATTTTCTAAATGAAACATTTACAAAATTAGGTTTTTTCTGAAATATTTTAAAATTAGGGCTATTTTCCACAAGAGTTGCCTCTGCGTCTTTTTCAACCTTTCCATCGAGGATATTTTCCACAGGAGCTGCATCTGAGCGACGTTCTTTCTCGTGTGGCGTTTGGGTTTTTCTCATCATCGTTCAATAGGATGTTCTCTTTTAAAAGCATTCTGCACACACTATTGTATTCCTCTCTACCTTCTTCTCTTGGCACTGTTGTACTGCCTTAATGTTGGGTAACCAATATATAGATCGAATAAAGTGAATTTCATGTTTTCCTCCTTATCGAGAACTGGACTTATGTGTAAATCAATCTTTGGTTAAACCCATTTGGTCTGTGCAAGGGTTTCATCAATTAGGGTTTCATATTGGCAAGGGGAAAATGCTCTCTTGCTTCTGGGGCGGCTGCTCGCGTTTTGTCATGGCTTTCGTGAATTAGACTGGTGTTGATGGTTTCCTGGGTGACGCGATTCTGGTTTGATTGGTTGCCATGGTTGCCGGATGAAGGTTTGACTGGCACGACATGGAGAAGAGGGGTACATGAAATTTGCGCTTAGGGTTCTTTGTAGGGTTTGATGTGGGGTTCTTGGGTTGTTGCGCGAATTTGCTTTTCTGTGGTCCTAATTTCTGATGCAGGTTGTGCAAAGGAGATGACGGCCATGCGAGGAGCTTTGCGTCTTTTGGTTCATGATGAAGATGGTGATTTTTGGTTGTTGCTGCGAAGGCGCAATTTTGGGTTGGTTTCTGTTTGCAGGTGAATCTGGGTTTGATGATGAATGCAGAACGGAGATGCTTCCATAGTTGACGTCCTTCCAATTTGAAGCTTCAAATTTTCCCTTCTCAATTCAAATTTCAATTAACCCTAATTTTAAAATATTTCAGAAAAAAACCCAATTTTTTAAATGTTTCATTTAGAAAATGTTACGTACAAGCTTTTCATTAATAAAAAGCTACTGTGCACGCCACGTCTCCAAAATTATCCACGTCACCTTCACAGGTAAGCAAAAACTTAACCCCGTTAAGTTGATTTAACGACAAGGACCAATTGATTCAACTTTTCAATATTAA